GGGGGGAGGAGCCGGGGCCGGGCTGCCAAAATAACCCTCTCGCTCATCCGCTTTGCAGCGATCCTAAAAATAAGGGTGCTGGGATGCGGGAGCAGGCTGGGGTGCTGGGAGCCCACCCAGGGCTCCCGGGGATGGGGTGGCCCTGTCCTGGCAGGGGGACGCTGGGGTGGCTGAATGGGGAGATCTCGGGGGTCTCCCGAACCCTCCAGGAGCTGCGATGTGTGCGGGAACCGGGCAGAGGTCCTGCCTGCAGGCGTGGGCCGGGAGGTGAAGGGAAACTGAGGCAGGGGCTGGCGATGGGACATGCCCACCGGGGTAGGTGGTGCGGGGCTGGGGGGCTCGGGGGGCTCAGGCAGCTCCTTCCAGTCGTTCAGCTCCTGCTGCCGTTCCCGGGCCGGGCATGGGATCTTTCTGATGTCTGAGTTAACCCAGAGGTCCGGGAAACATCTCGCATCGTCCAGGGCTTTTGCATTTGGAGTCCAGTGTGCAAAATTTGAGTCCTGAGGTGTCCGTGGAGCTTTGCAGGACCTCCCTGTCCCTCCCAGGCAATCGGGCCGGTCTGCAACTTGAGTGCACCAACCTGCGGAGTTTCCTGAAAAGTTGGGAATTGCCTCTATTTGTAAGACTTATTTTCCCCTTCGGGGAAAAAAAAAACCCATTTGCAGTTTTTCCTCTTGTTCCTGCATTCCCCCTTCTCTCAGGTTTCCCCAGGGACGGCGGGATTGCTCTGCAGCTCGGGGCTTTGCTTGCGGGGAGTCGGTGGCTCCCCAAATAGCCGTGCCACCTCGGCTTAGCTGCAGGGACGGTTACTCCTGACGTGGGCTGGAAGCTGGAAACGGTGGGACAGCGGGTGGGGAAAGACCCCGGACAGCAGCGCTGCCAGGGAATCCCCTCCGGCGTTTGTCCTGGCATGAGCTGAAGCCTGAAATCGGTGCTTTGGAGCAGGCTGGGGGAAGGATGGCGGTGGCGGGGATGCCTTAGACCTTGGCCACCGACGTCTAGCAGGTACCACTGAAACTCCGTGGGCTGGGACATTTACGCCTGCCGTGAAAGCGCCTCGGCTTTGCTCCTGCGTGCTGCGGCAGTGCGGTTTGCACCGCTGCAGGGCTGTCTGTTCAGCGGCAGCTCCGCTCTTCTCCGTGAAACCTCTTCAGGTTTTCAGGACGAGGCAGGGTGGGATCTGGGGATCCCCTTGCCCTCCTTGCTGGAGT